AGTACGCCGCCGTGTGCGCCGGCAACGTCCTGACTTCGCAGCGCGTCGTCGACGTCATCTTCAAGGCGTTTGGCGCGGCCGCGGCCAGCCAGGGGTGCATGAACAACTTGACCTTCGGCACGGATGACCCGGAGACCGGGTTCGGGTACTACGAGACCATCTGCGGCGGCGCGGGCGGCGGACCGAGCTGGGATGGTGTCAGCGGCGTGCATACCAACATGACCAACACGCGCATCACGGACCCGGAGTCGCTTGAGCGGCGGTACCCCGTCATCCTCCGGCAGTTCTGCCTGCGCGAGGGAAGCGGCGGGAAAGGAGCTCACACGGGAGGCGACGGCATCATCCGCGATATCGAGTTTAATATCCCCATCAAGGTCAGCATCCTCAGCGAGAGGCGGGCGTTTGCGCCGTACGGTATGGCGGGCGGCGAGGACGGGCAGCGGGGCCGTAATGTGTGGGTTAAGAAGAGCGGGCGCGTCGTCAATCTCGGCGGGAAGAACACGGCCATGATGGAGGCGGGCGATCGCATTGTGATCATGTCGCCTGGTGGTGGCGGGTATGGACGGCCCGAAGACAGGGTCGAGGGGAAAGCGAAGCCGGCGGCTGCGTTTGTGGGTGTTGCGAATGGAACGGTTGATATGATCCAGAGCATGGGAGAGTCTGCATAAAGAGAGCATCTTGGGACGGCGTTGGGTTCATTTTTTATGGTAATATATGGGGTTATCTTTTGCCTGATGCTGTCACGAAATATTCTATCAAACATTTGCACTTTATTCGAACGTCCAATGATGTTTACATGAATGTCACCATTGGGTTCTCTGACTACAGTCTCAACATCTTTAAAGCTTCAAGTCAGGATTCTCAAGTCTCTTCAACCCAAGCTTACAAGAAGCCTAGCTTTCGAGTTTATCTAGCCTTTAGTCACAAGGTGAAGCCGAGTCACTCAAAGTAGCAAATATCAAGCCTTGCAGTAAAACCCTGCTCTGTATTCATTCCTTTTTCGCTATGCAGTCAATTCTCTGTTCCGGACGTACTAAAAATAAGGGCGAAAAACTCGCCACTGTCGCCTTAATCCTCTCGGTCAATCGTGGTATCATGAGCAAACAAAAAAATCGCTTTTTGGTGCCGCCCCTTTTTCTTTTCTTCTTGCCCTGTTGTCCCGGTCCCTCCCGTCTCCCTTTTTTTTTCTACTCCAGAAACTGCTCAGTGTGGACGGAAAAGCATGCCGTCCCATAAATAACAAGGAGTTTTCGTGGTCAGATTATCGACTATCGGGTTGACAACCCTCTTATACACAAACCCCTGGCGGCTTTTGTTGACGACACCCTTGGTCTACTGTTAGGCGTAGGCTGGTGGTGTCGCGAGTAACACCCCCGGTCAGAGTAGGCATCCCAAAGGTGAAACCTAATTCTCAAAGACCTGATCCTTCCTCACTGTAAGTCCTGGATGCCGTCGTGGTAGTAATTCTGGTAATAATCGTTGATAACGGCGGGTTGATGAAGATACGAAGCCATAATTAGGTCGTCACTCTATGATACGCTAGCGCTGGCGCTTTCGCTATATGCTTCAAGCTCCCTAAGACTCTGCATAAGAGCGGCTTCCTTGAGATCTTCGGTCTCTTGACTGTAGACCGCAGCTGATGAATCGGTCGTGTAATTGGGCGCAGTCTCAGCAGCCTGAGAGACCTGCGGCTGGATGTGCTGCTGTTGAGGTTGGTGCTGCGGCTGTTGAGCATGGTGTTGCGGCTGTGGCGTTCCCGGGTGAGAATGATGCTGGATGTGGGAATGCGTCGGCGTTTGTGGCTGAGTTTGTGGCAAGCTGTGAGATGTTTGTAATTGAGCAGCGGTTGCGGCATACGGTGAGGAAGCTGGCAAAACTCTAGCATGGCTCGGTGTTGCTTGTACTGGCGTGGCAGGCGGGCCCGCTGCAGCAGCATGCGTCGGTGTCGTCGCATGGGCGGCCATGTGATGCGAGACCTGGGCGGCAGACTGTGACGGCGTGCTCGGTGCAGTCGCTGGTGTCACGCTTGCTCTATTTTGCTGAAGGTGCTGCGCATGTTGTGCGTGTTGTACATGCTGTGGATGCTGCGGGTGTTGTGCATGTTGAGGGTGGTGGGGATGCTGAGGATGCTGTAATCCGCCCGCAAGTGTCATGATGCCCTGTACCCGAGCTTGCTCCTCCTCTGAGTTCATCCTAGCTCGCTCCTCAGCCTCCTTGCGGGCAGCTTGTGTAGGTGCCCTTGTCTTGAGCTCGCCTGTGACGGCTTGCAGATAGTACGGCATCTCGGAGTTTGTCTTTAGGAAGAAGAGCTTCAAGTTGCGGGCCTTGTCTTTGAGCTGGACTTGCGTTCGATCTTTCAGTATATTGGAAAGAGTGCCCTCTGCACCAAACAGAGACAGAATTTGGCTCCAGTGAGGTCCCTGGACCATGTCGAGACCAGTCATGAGGGCCTTCTCCTCCTCTTGAGTCCATGGGCGTCTTGTCGAAGTGGTGCCTTCCCTTCTCTGCTGGTTATTGGTCTTGCTCAAGGCAGCTTGGCGGGCCCTGTCGTAAAGCACAGCACTAGGTAGGCTCTGACTAGGAGGCAGCTTTTCGTTACTCTCATGAGCCGTAGGCTGCGGTGGTTGTTCCACTGGTGGCGGGTATCCGTAGTATGGCGATTGTTGCTGGGTTTGTTGCAGGTGTGAGAGGTATGTCGTCTGCGTAACCGGAGCGGCGCCCGTCGGTGTGGGTACGGTTGGCTGATAGGGCGCTGGAGACAAATTGTTTAGTGTAGTTCGAACGTACTCCTGTGTGCTCTGTGCAACAAGGGCGAGAATATCATTCGTCGCGTCTTGACTTTCAGTTGTGGTACCATTTGTGGTTGGCGCCGGGGGAGCGGCTTCAGGGGCAGGCGCAGGTGGTTCGGGGGGCGGGACACTGCTCTCAGTCGTCGGAACTGGCGGCTGTTGTTCGGTAGGTAATCCATCGACCGGTTCACTGGGGAGATATTGCGCAACAAGTCCATCTGTAGCCTCCAGTAATGATGAGATTCCGAGGTCGTCGAGATCGGGTGGCATCGATGCGTCGAGGTCTCCGTTCGTCATAATCTGAGGAAGATCGATGCCGTGCCTCGAGGCCAGTCCAGAGACCGACTGTAGCTTTTGGCGCAGGTACACATTCAGTTGGTGAAACAAGTCTTCCTCCGGGTAGCCGATCTTCAGTAGAACTAACTCAATGTATCAGTCATGGGCCCCATCAGCCTTTGCACTCGACAACTTACCAGTATCTGGGAGTCCTGACGCGTAAGTAATCAGGGACGTTTTGCGCTCCTCCACAGATGTCACCAGGGCTCTCTCTTCAGCAGTCAAGTCAGATCCTTCGTGTCTTGCCTTTAGCTTATCTTCCAGACTGGACGAGAAAGCCTGGGCAATCAACTGGTCAACGGGCCCAGACTGATTCGCTGATGTCACGGACTCGATGACTAGTTGTGTCTTGACTGCGAGGAAGAGCTCAGAGATATCGTGCGAAATGCCCTCGGTGCCTGGCGGGAAGACGGTGAAAAATTTGTCCTCCAGAGCCAAGAGCTCGTTCGAGCCGAGTTGGTGTTCGCCGTCGAAGGTGAAAAGTTCGCAACAGAAGCTGGCGAGGTTGGCGACTTGGATATCGGTGAGGTTATCCGGCGCAGTCAGATCAAGCACTGCGGGGTCCAAGATAAGGTCGGTCGTGGAGTAAATCGATCGAGTTTGCTGGAGCAGAGACTTGAGTGTGCTGAAGGACTTGCAGAGGTCTGATTCTCTGTCTTGTAACTGCTGGTAAACGTCATGGTAGACATGCTGCGACATGATTACGAGAAGTTGCATAGCCTGAAAATTGAGATATGATTAGCGGCGCCTCCAGAGCTGACGAGACCGCCACGTACAAAGTTTGACAAACAGGAGGTGGTGATGCGCCTCATCAAGGCCGAAGGCTCAGAGAGAACAATGGCATGTGTGTCAGTTGACGGAGCAGAGTCTTGCGACACAGACGCCAAGTGATCTGCCGTCATATCGACATCCGTGACGCCGTCCAGACCCTCGACCTTTCCTATCTCATTGTTCATCTCGTTGCTGATGTCCATCATTACACCCTGGATCATGGCGTCCATGTCAAATCCGAGATCGAGAGCCGCATGGTCGTCTTGATTCTCCTCCTGAGGTTGCTCGTGAGTTTGCTCCTGTGGTTGCTCTTGGGGTTGATCATGGGGCTGCTCTTGGGATTGCGCTTGAGATGGCTCTTGAGATTCTTCGAATGCTTGTTCGAGTGATCTCTCGATCGACTTCTCAATTGACTTCTCGAGTGATTCCTGAAGTGATTGCTCGAGTGATTTTTCAAGTGATTTCTCAAGTGATTGTTGCTCCGGGGTTTGTTGGGGTGGTTGATCGTCGTCAACTTTCAGCCTCTTGGACTCGGCCTCGGGGTCGTCTGCGCTCGAATCGCGGGGTCGCTTCAGTGGGAACTGAGGGGTCTCGCCCAGATTGGTGGTGACAGTCGGGGACTCCTGTTTCATTTCTGGTCCTACTACGGCAAGTCAGCCTGGTTTGCGACACTTGCGAAAGCGTGCCTCGGGTGCGTGCAAGTTGGTTCGAGGCCGGGTGAAGATCTTTTGCTTGGTGGGATGGCGGCAAAGGCAAGCGCATACCTGTCGGCGAGTGCGCCTCAGGCTTGGCGGCCTGAGCCGACTCGGCAATAGCTTCAATGCCCTCCATGAGCATCGAGAAGCACGGAGACAGCTTTTTGGGGTCAGTCTGGTCGCCGTGCAGCTCAATGGCGGGGGGTCAGTCGTGATCTTGACGGTTCTTGGACTGAGGCGGAAAAACTTTTTGGGAGAAAATCCGAGCGCCGATGCCCTTATAATCTGCCCCAAAGAAGATGTCACTCCCGATACACAGGAAGGAGCGATTTCTCAAAAAAATTCACCGCTGCTTCCCAGTAAAGAATGACTACTGATTGGCCAGCGCAATCAAAATGCAACTTGGTCCATGCGTTTGGTCTCCACTCTGCCACTTTATCGCAACGATTTTTTTTTTCTTGTCCCCTGCCCCTCGGAGCCGCGTCCACCTGCACGCCGAATCCAGATGGCCATCCCAACCCCTCAATTTTTTCCGTTCTCGAGACGGGAAGCTCAAAACCTTCTAGGTTGGCTGTTGTCGAATTCTTTTCTGCCTCAGAGGAATGGGCCAATAGAACCACTCAAGCCTCACCCTACCTGGATAGTAAACCACATACCTTGTCTTTCACCGCATACTTTCTTTTGTAAATGCTCAAATCATAGAGTCTGTCACCCAGCAACGGACCTACCTTTTCTTAAGGGACAATCATGTTGCTGCCATCCCGCATGACGTCATTCCCCAGATTCACCCCTTTCAGTCTGGGGTTCTTGGAGATTGATGACCAGGGGATCAACATGATATGTCACTGGCCCATTCTGCCAATCACGACCGCCAGGGATGAGTCCCTCCTCACAGTTTGACGAGCCTTCTCAGCTGGATACACATGATCATGTCAAGCATTCTCTTGAAAAGTGAGCGTTCATCAAGAGCATGGACTATAATTCTCATACTCGAGACGTGATATACAGTACGTGTAGTCGGTGGTAGTAGCATCGAAGAGTCTTACTCCATCTCTCAGTTTGGAGCCTGAAGTCAGGCTCAGATGGCTGTCTGCTTCAATTAAGCAGGTACGAAGGTCATTTCAGCGCTATGATTGATGCTTCACCCACTCAGTCGTTTCTTCATCGTGATGAAAGACCAGCCTGGCGTTCTTCCCTCCAGGCGCGATTCAAGTTCGAACCTCGTGCCTCCCACTTTTGCATCGTTTCGTTTCATTAGACAAGATATCTACCTACCTACTCTCGTTCTTTCTCCTGCCGCTGACACTCCAGTCCCTTCTCCTCCTTCGAGAGTGATCAAGGTACCTACCTATCTACCTAACGAAGCATCGGAAAGCACTTCGACATGTCGGCCAGAAATGGTGCTTCGGGCATCAGCAAAGAGGATCCCGAAGCAGGCAAGAAGCTGCTAGGCAAGCACAAAGATATTCTGCTAGGAAGATTGAGGCGTTACCTGAACCATCCGGACACCAAGTATGATCACATCGACGCTTTGCGGGATGCTCTCCTTCCCAAAATTTCTTTTCTCAGCGACAGTGACGCAAGACTTGAACTCGCCAAGTCTTGGTGCCGCAGTTCGCATTCGGCCTATTGCAAGTATCATAGAAGAGACTTTGAAGTTGTGGACAAACTGGCGTGGGCATCACTCATGATGGCGCCGATGGAGGCCAGTCGCAAATTCCAAGATGAAGAGTGTACGGACGATGGACGTCCTTCACAATCAGATACTTGCTACCTCGGAGAGTCTGCTATTTTTCTTTCCAGGATGATTGGAGAGCGTGAGTTGCTCAAAACACCTTGCAAGAGATCAGCGAGCCAACACTGGTAAATTATAGTGTTTCCCAAACGTGGTTATCTTCCGGCTTACCATTACGAGCCCAAGGATGGCCTCAACGCGGTCGAAGTAAAGGACCATCCGAGAGGCGATATCAAACAAGCTGTTGTAAGTTTCTAAACGGCCCACAAGCATATTTGTGCAGGTACTGATCTGTTCAGTCCGCTTCTTCACTCCAAGACGAGAGCACTTGCGTTGTCACAAAGTCTGCCGACCCCAGGGTTTGTCTGGTCCTTCCTTTTCCTACTTCGCAAACTGCTGCTTCGTTGGAGTATATCTTGCATAAAGATTCGGGAGACATTTTTGGCTTTGGGATTCGCAAGTATCTCGCTGTTTTACAGTCGCTGGCCACCGTCTTCTCTTTGGCGAACATGATCTCCCTCAACGAGATACTCTCGAAATGGTGGGCGAAGGCGTGGATTGCCCTCGAGCCTATCCCACAAACCGACTGCTCCATCCGGCTCCGGCTTAGATGGTTCCGAAAAGCCATGTTTGATCAGGAAAGGGATCATAGAATTGGCAGGCTCGAATCTGTCCGAGGGTCCTGCGCCAAAGTGGTGTGCATCGACATGAACCCCCGCATGGTCTCTCGGGAGAGACTCACCCAGTCTGGAAAGACTCTTCGCATGGTCCACTTTGAAACACGTGAGTACGTCGAGGACGGCTACGAGTTCGACATCACTGCGGCCAAGAAGGAAGATCTCTCAGACTTTGGACTGCTCAAGGTTCGGTACATCCTTTCAATAGCTATGTCACTGACGGGCGAGGGGCTAGCCGAGGACGATGAGCAGTGAGTTGCAAGTCACAAACATGGGGAGGAAATACGGATGGCAACCGAAATGGATGTAACATCAATATTTATGGACAATAACCCTGGGGGTTACAAGGGAAGGCTTGCTCAAACCGACCACAGAATAGGAAATCCTGCTACTTCTCACGGCCACAATGTCCACTGACACTAACCGTGACAACTGACTCTGAAGAAAACTTAGTGCGATGAGCGTAGAGTTATACTCTGATATATGTCGATCCATTGCAACTTTTAGTTCGAGCTCAACAGCCTAACCAGTCCGGATACTCGATGCGGTAGAGGAGATGCGGCAGAAGAGCATTGCTCGTCACTTAGTACCAAACCCCAGCTTCCGCCAAGTGACCTGGACTAGCGAGTTGTATTCCATGTCAAGTATTAAAATGACCAGAACGACTTTCCATTGGCTACAAATCTACGAGGATTCCTAGACGAAAGGCACCTGAGAGCCGCTTGAGTCCTTGGGAGCCAGCATGTCGGTACTCTTACCTACGGGGGGCGTGTCCGAAGACAACAAACATCCTGTCTTTAACCTGATTCGTTGGGCAAACTGCTCAGAAAGGACCCCTGAATTGACATTGTAGTTCAAGCTGCTTTGCCGTTGACGGTGTGAACCCTTAGCGAGGATCCTGCCTCGGCGTCTGGATCTTATCGTCCATGGTTCTTGGAGCAAGGACGGCGGCCGTCACGGTCATTGTCACGCAGCCATTATCATAAGATTGTACGGGAAGATGAGCTTCCCGGATTACTCCAGCTAATAGATCAATCAATTACACTGTCTTCAGTTCATATGGCGGGCTCCGGGCGAGCGGTTCTGTGGAAGGGTCCCCCGCAGATGCCCGCAGATGGGGCCGGCCGGCTGCATAACTGACTTACACCACGAGCGCAGGGCTTGGTACGCCAACAGATGTCACAGTTCAACCAGCGAAATTGGCGAGAATCACGCTGCTCTGGGTCAATAGCGTTCTATGGCATCAAACCAGCATATCGTTGGACCCAACAACAGCTGACACAATAAGCTCACGTCCGCCCCGTACGGACAGAGGGAACAGACGGCGGTCACGGGGGTAATCTACGTATCCCAAAGGAGCCGCAAAAGTGCGGGGATCCGGGGATCAAGCAGATGGCCAAAACATAGCCCGGCGGGCTTGTGGAGGGCGGCTTAGCTTAGGACCATCCAAGTTAATCCCAAAAACACCAACGAGAGAAACAGTGAACCAGATCGCACCGTGTCTATTGGACCAAGAAATGAGAATAAAGTGACTGGCGCCTAGCAACTTTGGACCATTGACAATTTGAGCAAGGGTGTAATTGGGAGCGGCAGCCCCAGAAAATAGAACTCGATGAGAAATCGCGGCCGACGCTTGTGAGAAATGCAAGTGCGGATCCGCACAGGTGAAGCAAGGCGGCGGCGGAGGCGGCGGGCGGGTTCGCAGCCTCACGGGACATGGGATGGGGCCCATGGACGATGGGGATGGGAAGAGGGGGGGGGGGGTCGAATGTCTCGGCTCTTGGCGTTGGCAAGTTGGGGAACGAGTTTCTCTTTCGGACACCAGGGCCCGGTTCGGGTTCCGTGCGAAGGAATTCCTTTTGGGTGCATACAGAAATGGCAACTGCTCTTCGGAACGAATTTGGGAGGTTTTGATGTTTGTCGGAACCGAGGGTGGAAAGAGTGATTCCGACCAGTTTGGGGGCGAGTGGTTACATAAGAGACTAGGGACTGCAGTTTATGCAGTGTAGGACGAATACAGTTACGTGCAGGGCTGAAGACATATTTTGGGACCTATTTCGTCTCAAGGGTCAGAGGGCTGACTTTGCGTGAGTATGTTGATTCATAGCTATTGACACGACACATGCGATTCAAGAAATTTTGATAGATGGGTCGTTACCTGATCTATTTGCGGTCCCGCGTTCAGCTGGAGTAAACACTATAGAGATATGCCAGGGTACGATTACAGACAAAAGGCAATGAATGAGCTCCGTGTAGCCGCTGTGAAACTGCCATCAGACCGAAGAGACGAAGAAAAGCTCACCCCACAAAATCCCCAACAGCAAAGCACTCAAGCAAGCGCTTCGGCCAAGAGGGTTCGTCGCTGTCGAATGATGTCGGGGACAAGGAAGGCAGCAAAGGAAGTGCGACAGGGGGATTCGGGTCGGGGGCGCGGCAGGAATTCGATGGAGGGGCAACGAAGGGAAAAGGGGGCGTGTATTCAATATCGGGGGATGTCGATATATCACTCTGCAAACGCCGCAAATTCCCATCCCGCTGTCTTGAGACCCTTTTGCGGGCTTAGCTAATAAATCTATATCCACCTTTTGGGTTTCTTCGGTGCGGGGGATCTCTGAGCAGAAGGGCTCGCTTGCATTTGCACCGAGCAGAGAGGCCCGGGGAATGGGCAGTAAAGACACCCCGAGAGAAGGAGGAGTTTCAGTCTTTCAGACCTCAAAAGCTCGTGGTAATTAAGTACCGTAGTCTTCTCCCGAGTAAATTTTCAGTATTTCGAGCCCCGTTATCTCTATACCTAATGTCATTGCTTAACGCCGCACGACGGAGCTACCCTGCCCCCCTTTGGAGGTGTAGGAGTTAAGATGCCGCGGATGATCGAGCCAAGACACCGTAAAAAAAAACTTGGAGATGTATGTACATGAGTGTGGGTCGGGGGGTTTAGGTATCCCATGTCCGCGCCCCAGTATCCAGACTCCAGAGTGTGCAGAGCCCGGTATGGAGAAGTCCAAAGAAAAAGGTAATCTCAATCTTACCGGTAACCTTCAAGGTGGCAGGTCGTGGACCCGGGGCCCCAACATTTCACGGCCAGCCACCGAGTCGACGTAAGGTACGGCGGTACGTCTGTAGAGAACGCGTGCGTGTGTCGTCAAGGTGGGAATGAAAAGGTGGGGTGGAGGGGAAAGGTGCCAGTTATGCCAGGCGGAAGTTCTGGGCCACCCAACGACCAAGTCGAAGTGTGAGGAATCGTGTTTCGTCCCATACTGCTTATCCCATGCTGCGTATGCCGGGCTGGAACGGGACCGTCATTCTGACTCGATTGTCACGGAATGGTTTGGGTATCACAGTACGTTGGGGGTGTAGTTCAACTTGCTGACTGCAGGCAATCCGCTCGGAAAGCATCTGAAAACACGCGCCGGCGAACTTCCGCCCATCCATCCAGAGCTTACATACTATGTACGGAGTACAACTGGGAGCAAACAATGGAACGGGCATCCAATAGTTCATCGTCTGATCATCTCTTGGAGGATGGCTTAATGCCGAAAGAATCCGGGGTTATAGTAGTTAGACTTCTTTTGATTCGGCATTTCTAAGCGTGCCATGGCTACGACACATTGGTCCCGAGCTCGAATTCCGATGTGTTTGATAGCTGCTCAGCTACAGTAGCATAGTTGCACTGTAGCACGGTAGTTGGCAGGGATCGGCGAGGAGTAGCTGCAGCGCAGAGCCCGTCTGTTCCCTAGGTGATGCCATTTGTCATAGTATCCTAAGCAGGACCCTCGGGCAGATTCAATAGCTGTGGGATAATCATAGTAGAGAGACAAAAAAGCAGATGTTTGGTGTGTGTGATGAAGCGCTTTGAAGCGGGTGTGGCTGCTGCATCAAGACAAGACCAGCAATTTGAATTGTGCTGATTGGTTGGTTGCCCAATGGAAGACGCAACTTGTGATGGAGAAAATGCGGGGTCGACAAACTGCAAGAGAGGGGAAGCGGAGAGAGAGGGGTTTGTAGCTCTGGGTCGTGGCAACCTTTCATATTCATCTCAAGAACAAAAGCAAACAAAGCATGGTAGATATTCACAGTATAGAGGCAAGAAGAGAGAAATCAAAAGATGGCAACAGACATATGGTCGAGCACAACTTACCTCAGAGCCATCTAGTCCAATATCATCACGACAGTTTCGCGATTCTTCTTCCTAACCTGGGGCCCCGGGGAATGGGAACGCGGAACTCAATTCCCACCGAACGGAACCCACAGTGACACACACCCCTGGGTGACATTCTGGTAAACTTGGGCCGAGTCGAACAGGCATCACCTAGTGGCAGTCTTGATCTACCTTACTGTTAGTCTCTGAGTCCTGGTGAAGACCTGCTGTCAGCCAGCACAGCACAGCAACGCACCGGTGGATAGCGTATTGCTCGTCCGGCGTAAAGGGAACGAGGGAAAGCAAAGGATAGGAAAGGAAAGGAAAGGCAGGCGTTGGCCCGAAGCGGCGCCCACCTTTCCCCGTTTACCTTAGCTCGAGGTCCCATCTTGCATCCATCCCTTGCAAGTTGCTGCCCCTCCATTTCTCCCCTCCAACACTAACAAATCGATTACTGTATGGGAGTCCACCCTAGCTTGTCAATATCTGGTGTAAGTACGAAGTACCCCCCCCCCCCCCAAACCCTGTCCATTGACAGCATGCAGATGCGTGTCTGGCCTCCCAGTGTGGAGATCTCAAGTCCAGTCCAGTCCACCGAATGACCGTGTTTGACGTTGCTCCGGCCCATGGGGGGGATTCTCTCACGTTCCCTTTCATCCAATGCCCATCCAATCTGCGGTTCCGATACCAAGTACGGATAGACCAGGCCTCGGTTTTAGTGTTAGGTTACTATCTTGCAGACACTCCAGTCTCCCCTTCCCCTCATCCTTACGCAGTACCTACCCTACTCTGAGTCTGGAGTCTTCCCCTCCATCCGTACACCCTCCTGCCCACCCCGGGCCCCACCGCCGTCGAGCAAGGTATCGCCTTCGCCTCCTTGACCCTTCACACTCCAGTCTCTAGGTCTCTGACATTTCGTCCCCTCCACTGCCTTTGCGCCGCGCGGTATACCGTATCACTTTCGGACTTCTCTCCCCCAGCTCTGCTCTGCTCTTGCTGCTCTGTGCCCCCCCGGACCCCGCTTTATATACAGTCTGTGATCCCCAGCTTCGTCTCTCCAGTTTCTCTCCCTCCCTCTCTCACTTCTCACTACTCTCAACTCACAATCCCATCCCAATCCAAACTTTTTCTTCTTTCTTCCGTGATACCAGATACCCTTCCACGTTTCGTACTTGTTTTCCACAAAAATCACACACAATGGGTTTGTCCGTTGAGCTCAAGACCCCGGTGACGGGCGCCTACAACCAACCTACTGGACTGTGCGTATTTTCCACCCCTCAATCCTTATCCCGCCGCCGCTTACCCCGCGAGCAATGACGACCTCGAAATCACCAAGTCTAACATATCGTGATTTTCTAGCTTCATCAACAACGAGTGGGTTGAGGGTGTTGACAAGCAGACTTTCGAGGTCATCAACCCCTCCACCGAGGAGGTCATCACCTCCGTCCACGAGGCCACCGAGAAGGATGTCGACATCGCCGTCGCCGCCGCCCGCAAGGCCTTTGAGGGCGAGTGGAGAAAGGTTCCCCCTAGCCAGCGTGGTTACCTCCTGAACAAGCTCGCCGATATTGCCGAGAAGAACACCGACCTCCTGGCCGCTGTCGAGTCTCTCGACAACGGAAAGTCCATCTCCATGGCCAAGGGCGATGTTGGTGCCGTTGTCGGCTGCTTGAGATACTACGGAGGCTGGGCCGACAAGATCGAGGGCAAGACCATTGACGTTGCCCACGACATGTTCCACTACACCCGCTCCGAGCCTGTAAGTCGCTGTCATTCTTGGTACAATCCAGAACCGCCAGCTAACAAACCCTCTCCAGATCGGTGTCTGCGCCCAGGTCATCCCCTGGAACTTCCCCCTCCTCATGCTCTCCTGGAAGATCGCCCCCGCCCTGGCGACGGGTAACACCATCGTCATGAAGACCGCCGAGCAGACTCCCCTGTCCGCCCTCGTTTTCGCCCAGTTCATCAAGGAGGCCGGCTTCCCCCCCGGTGTCTTCAACCTCATCAACGGTTTCGGCAAGATCGCCGGCGCCGCCCTCTCCGCCCACATGGACGTCGACAAGATCGCCTTCACCGGCTCCACCCTCGTCGGTCGCCAGATCATGAAGGCCGCCGCCAGCTCCAACCTCAAGAAGGTCACCCTCGAGCTCGGCGGAAAGTCCCCCAACATCGTCTTCAACGACGCCGACATTGAGCAGGCCATCTCCTGGGTCAACTTTGGCATCTACTACAACCACGGCCAGTGCTGCTGCGCCGGCACCCGCATCTTCGTTCAGGAGGGCATCTACGACAAGTTCCTCGCCGCCTTCAAGGCCCGCGCCGAGCAGAACAAGGTTGGCGACCCCTTCCACCCGGAGACCTTCCAGGGCCCCCAGGTCTCCCAGCTGCAGTTCGACCGCATCATGGGCTACATCAAGGCCGGCAAGGACGAGGGCGCCACCGTCGAGACGGGCGGCGAGCGCCACGGCGACAAGGGCTACTTCATCCAGCCCACCATCTTCAGCAACGTCCGCCCGGACATGAAGATCATGCAGGAGGAGATCTTCGGCCCCGTCTGCGCCATCGCCAAGTTCAAGGACGAGGAGGAGGTCATCAAGCTCGGAAACGACACCACCTACGGCCTCGCCGCCGCCGTCCACACCACCGACCTCAACACCGCCATCCGCGTCAGCAACGCCATCAAGGCCGGCACCGTCTGGGTCAACTGCTACAACATGCTCTCCTACCAGGTGCCCTTCGGCGGCTTCAAGGAGTCCGGTATCGGCAGAGAGCTCGGCGAGGCTGCTCTGGCAAACTACACCCAGAACAAGTCCGTCGCGATCCGTCTGGGCGGAGCATTGTTCTAAGCCGTGGAAAGGCTTGGTTGGAAAGGTAATGAAAACTGGGGCTTATTCCGGCGCAAATGTGTACATGACCTTGATGTAACTTTTTTCTTCTCGTTTCAAACATCACGTTGAATGATACCAATAACACAAAAACAATCAAAATTCTCCTGTCCTCTATGAATGCTGTGAATGTGATGAATGATCCGACCAAGTCCAATGCTGACGGCCGGAACGGAACGGCCTGCTCACGACGCCTTGATCCACTTCCCCGATACACCGCCGGCCGGCATCCTAGGCGTATCATGCGCCCTACGGTATCCAAACGGCCCGCGAGCAATCACGTTCCATCAAGCCCTGGTTTCTGGGGCCCAAAATCCAAGTTCTTGTAAGTGTATACGCTGTTGTTATATTTCCCAAGTATTACATTGCTCGGACAACAGTACTTGTTCCAATCGCGCATCTAGTGGAACCAGCGAATGGCGTCGTTATATTCTCAGTCGAACTCATAAGTGTCGGTAATCGATCTGAGTCTCTAGCACGACATGTTTACAAGACCTACGCAACCTTCAGCCGACACAACACCGCCTCATTCCGATCAACCGGGCTCCCAGGCCCACAAACCACCGTAAAATTATGCCAATCTCTAGTGACATCAACATCCAACCCCTCCAC